CACACACAGATACACACACAAATATCGTACACATGCATACATAAACATACAAACATATACACACATATACATACACATACAAAACACAGTTCGACTAGCATACACGCTAAACATGTATCCAAAGAAAGAAAACTACAATAATAATAACACAGACAGTTTTATGCGTATCAATATATACATATCGCATACATACATACCTACACACACGCGCGCACACACACACGCGCGCACACACACACACGCACACCCTTTATAGTCAGTATAATAGCCAGAACACGAACTGAAGAGTAACAAATTCTTATTGAAATGCATCGAGTTGCCATTGTTTGGTGGCTTGCCTATTGGGTGAATTAGTTTTACGAAAATATTTTTTAAAATTTGATTTAATTATATCCGAATGTTTTTATCACAGATATATGAATCTATAAATTACCTAATTAATTTAATTTATTATTTGAAGAGCTCTTACGATTTTTTAATTTTTTAAGATTTAGTTAAAAATAATGAAAATGAATAATATAACTTATATGTTTACGTTGGTAATAATTTTAAGACTTCATAATTTAAATGGAAAAATTTACTTTTAATCAAGTAATGAACAATTTTTAAATTTAAATATAGCAAATTATAAATAAAATATATAAAATATTTTGGCAACATCGTTTAAACACACACAACCACAACACGCACGCGCACACACACACACACAAACAGACAGATACAATACTCGTACATTACACCATACATAGGTAGTAAAATAATAATAATAATAATAACAAATTGAAATTACAATAAAAATATATTATACAATATTATAAATAATTATAAGATGAACTTTCATAAACATAGCATCGATATATTTTAGATGTACCATTAGGATTAATCATCATCGTCGTCATCATCACCACCATCATCATCATCATCATTATCATTAATAATAATAATAATAATAATAATAATAATATTATTATTATTATTATTATTATTATTAACATCACCATAGTTATCAAAGACAACTTGCATTGGATAGTGTAACATCTTTTTTTTTTTTATACTTTTTCAGTGATACCGTTTCTAATCAAATCACATGAAATCTTGTTGATTTGGCTGGAGTTGGTAGCTACCACAAAACATTTGCTTGGAGTTAAATCGGTAGAAATTATTACAAAAATTTTGTCATCCAACCACAGATGAAATTTTGACTTCGTAGGCTGATCTGCACGCGAAGAAATAGTGTCAGAAGAACATCAACAACAACAACATCCAAAACAGCAACAACATCAACATTAAAACAACATCAACATTAAAACAACAACAATTTCAACATTAAGACAGCAACAATATCAGCATTGAAACAACAACAACATCAACATTAAAACAACAACAACTTCAACATTAAAACAACAACAAATTCAACATTAAAACAACAACAAATTCAACATTAAAACAACAACAACTTCAACATTAAAACAACAACATCAACATTAAAACAACAACAACTTCAACATTAAAACAACAACAACATCAACATTAAAACAACAACAACTTCAACATTAAAACAACAACAACTTCAACATTAAAACAACAACAACTTCAACATTAAAACAACAACAACAACATCAACATTAACACAACTTAAAAACGACAAAGCAACAACAAAGAAACATCATCACCAAAAAGAGTTACTTCGCCGAAAGCTTATTAACATTGTTGTTAATATTAAATTATTAAAATTATTAACAATTTTTCCTAACAAAACTTTTAAGAAAGATCACACTATATTCCATAAGGTTATATTGGAGTTATAAAAGTCTTAAAGAAAAACTGATTCAATTTTGACTAGACCACAAACACCAAAACCAAAAAAACGCCACAATTTACGGCTTCAAACGTCTTTAGCACACAAAAATGACGTCATCATCATCATTATCATCTTCTTCCTCTTCATCGTCTTCGTTACTGAAAGGATCAACAATGTCATTAAAACTATTAGTGACTGAACCCATGCTCTCAAAATCATCATTATCAAGAAAGCCCACGTCATCATCATCATCACTGTATTCACCCTCATCACCTTCATCACCGTCGTCATCATCATCATCATCATCGTCGTCATCATCGTCAAACGCGTTAAAGATATTAATCTTGTTACTTCTCGTTACAGGCTGCCATTCTCAAACGTGGTGGTGAGTTATGATGATGATGATGATGGTGATGATGATGATAACGATGATGATGATGACGACGACGATGATGATGATAATGACAATGATGATGATGATAACGATGATGATAACGATGATAAAGACAATGATGACGATACAAATGATACAAATGATAAAACCATATGATACCATATCACTCGATATGGCAAAAGTTATGCGTGGCGATAATGACAAACTAGACCATAGCGATAAACAAATTGAGATAAAACTCTCATTAAATATAAAACAGTAAATAATAATAATTATAATAATAATAATAATAAATTAATAATGATGATAATGATGATCCTAATCATCGTCATCATCATCATCATCACAATCACCAAATATTATTTAACAAAATAAAAAAAAACTAAATAAATATAAAAACACACGTGCACATAAATAAAAATTTGTTGTTAGGATGGTTTTTTTCCTCCTTTGTTGACACACTCGCTTATCAAAGCTATCAATCGCTCGTAATGTAGTTTTTTTTACATTAACTCATTCGTTCGTTCTTTCGTTCATTCATTCATTCATTCATTCTTTCATTCGTTCATTCATTCATTCATTCATTCATTCATTCATTCATTCATTCATTCATTCATTCATTCATACGTTCACGATAGCCATCTTTCTACTTTTTGTTATCTTTATTATCTCTTATCTCTCTCTTTCTCTTCCTCTTTCTCTCTTCTGGATTTTAATACTATCTCAACCTTTTATTTTCTTACCGTTTTCTTCTTATTTAAATTCTCATTGGCTTTCTCTCTCTCTCTCTTTTTCTCTATCTCTCTTTTTTTTTTTCTCTCCCTCCATTATCGTCTTCATCATCATCATCTTACCACATCATCATCATCGTCGTCATCACCATCCTGCTTTTACAAGGCTTAAAAGTGAATTTCGAATATTACAACTAGCAGATAAAGTTTAATTCACGAGCGCGAACGGTGTAAAGAGCTTGTTGTGATTTTTTGATTAATTTATTCTTTCACTACATTTGAGATTATTTTCTAATTGAAAAAAAGTTAGAAGTGACTCATGGAAAATAAAAAATGTGCAGGCAGCAGGCACTTGTTCACTGATTGATCATATAGGTAACATTCAACGTTCATCGATACGCTGGACGAACAAACGAACCAAAGAGCAAACATTTTGACAAACAAATAAATAGACGAACAACAAATTAACAAACAAACAATCAAACAAATAGAAAAATGGTTAAATAGGCGAACACAGACACATGCAAAAAGATAAATAAAAAAATATATTTATAAACCGTTTAAGAGATGAACATACAAAGACGGACAAACTAAATCAGATAGGCACATAAATAGACAGACAAACCATCAGACAAAAAGACAAACATTTAGACAGACAAACAGACAGATAAACACACAAACAAGCGGATACAATAGACCAAACACCAGCCAAACCACGTCACATCGTGTCACCACATAGAACTCATTGCGTTCGTGAGACCAGCAATAACATTATAATCATTTTATGACATTCGTTTATTTAATTTATTATCAATTCAACTTCATAACTCATCTCTATTATCTATCACATGCACGTATGCGTGTGTGTGTGTGTATGTGCGTGCGTGTGTATGTGCGTGCGTGTGTATGTGTGTGCGTGTGTATGTGAAAGAATGCGTATGCATGTGATTTCATAATTCTTGTCTTTGCGTCTATATGTGTTCACCTTCATCTTTATGCATTTTGTAGAGTAATAGAAGAATAAATAATTATATAAGTTCTACAACTCAAGTAAGTTTACTTCATACAGGAATTCAAAGAAAGAAAGACAGGCAGAGGGAGAGAGAGAGAAAGAGAGAGAAATAAAGAGAGAGAGAAGAAGAAAGAGAAGATAAACCGACGAGCTAACTCAGACGGTAGAAGTACCATGTCACTCGGTGTTATAACGCCATGGCCTGGTTCGAATAATGTCTATCCGAAACTCTCAAAGACTATCATACACCGTAAGTGTATGCATACAAAATTTGCATGTGTACACCCTGATGGGGTGTGTCATGTTGGGTCGTGTTGGGTCGTGTGGCGCGAAAATTTTTTTTAAATTCTAGAAAAACGTGTGAGCAGTTCCAAGCTTCTCAGGGCAGCAGAGTGAAAAACAAATAGAAAAAAGACGGAAAGAGAAAGATAAAAAAGCTAGAAGAAAAAATGAGAGAAAGAGAGAGAGAAAGAAGGAGAGAGTTTTTGAATGAATAGATGACGTACGACGTTTCGACACGAGATTCGGTTAAAAATTATTTGTCAGCTTTATAAATAGCACACAGTATACATAAGAAGATCAAGTTATATTTATGTGTATATATATATATATATATATATGTGTGTGCGTGTGTGCGTGCGTGAGTGTTTGTTTGTGTGTGTGTGCGTGTGTGTGTGCGTGAGTGTTTGTTTGTGTGTGTGTGTGTGTGTGTGTGTTATAAAACGTAATTTTTCAATTGTAAATGTGATTGATAAGCACGAACAACACGTGTTCACGGGGTTTAATTTCGATAATATTTTGTCGATGTTGAAAATAAGGATGAAGACGATGGTGGTGGAGCGTAATTTGGAAATTAAGAAAATAAAATATTTAATCAACAAAAATCTAATTTATTTATTTTTTTTAATTCGTTTGCTCGTTCGTTCGTTCGCTCGTTCGTTCACACACACACTATTTCTAAAATTCGTTCACCTATATCTGTTCATTAATTAAATAAATTGTTTTTTTATTTACTCATTTATTCACTTATTCATTCATTCATTCATTCATACATTCATTCAAGCATTCATTTATTCATTCATTCAAGCATTCATTTATTCATTCATTCAAGCATTCACGAATTCATTCATTCGATCATTCGTTCGTTCGTTCATTCATTCATTCATCCATACAATCATTTAATCTTTCAATCTTCTCTTTAATTAAATGTCACCTAACTCCATGACGACCGGAAGAATTCCAATAAAGTCGAAAACGCTCATGATCGTCATCATCATCATCGTATATGTGTATGTGTGCGTGTGCGTGCGTGTGTGTGTGTACGTGTGAGTAATTTTTATTCACACAATTTATAGTTTGATATAAGGACATGAATGATATCTGAT